CAAACATCTATCGTCCTCATCTCCCCTTCTTCTTTTTTATGTTTGTTACTCTCTTGAAACACCTCTAATCTTCTGGCGCTCATATGACCTTATGCTGTTGCGAGCGCCGTAAAACCTCTACTAAAACAAAACAAAACGAACTGAGCCGTATACTTCCCCACAGGCTCGTCTGTTTCCCCATGCGTACATCGCCCGGTCCGTTTATTTCCTGCCAAGATGGAAGACGAACGACTGATAGTTGCAGTTCGCTCCCGAGAATTGATACACAACAAAGCAGACAAGAACCAGTTCCGACAACGCTGTATTCTGCCTTCTTCTCCACACCCACCATCACACAAAAAGTTTCCACGCCGGCTCAGCGCCATTTTTTTAGTCATTTTTTTTTTAGTAGAGGTTTTATGGTACTCGCAACTGCATAAGGTCATCTGAGTGCCAGAAGATTAGAGGTGTTACAAGAGAGTAACAAACATAAAAAAGAAGAAGGGGAGATAAGGATGATAGATGTTTGATAGGAAAGAAGGAGCAAACCACACCAGAGCACCCGCAAACCACCCACATTTTACAGTCAGACAAGAGTCCCGCTGACCTATGGGATCACCATTTTTGACCTAGCTGCTCGTCCGTTTCGCGGCGCACTTCAGTAGTACGTGGCAGTATATTTTCAGCCTTACTTAAACGTATGGGTCAAAAGAGTGGAACATCATATGTTCTAAAACCGTTTGGCAGACAACCGGCTCTAAACCACATCTGTCTGTGAACACATACTCACCGACTACGCTTTGGCTTTCACAACCGTCCCTTCACTCTCGCACACTTACAGAAGTCACACACACACACACTCCCACACACACACACACACTCACACAAGCAAACACACACACACACACCTCATCATACCACTCCATTAATCCCTTTGGCTTTCCGGGCATAGACTTTTTCCCAGCGGCGCAGTCTGCACACACACAGGAACTGCCGCAGGTTTCTGCACACGCCCTCGTTGAAGGGGTTATAATCCTCGTCCAGGTACTTGAGGTACGTGATTCTCTCCCTTGACGCGGCTTCCCATGTGGTGAGGCCCTAGCAGAAAAATCAAACACAGGACTTGAATTAGTTTGTTTCGGACATAGCTGAAAGTCCACACACGTGTCACATAAATAGAGACACCCTCCACCACCCCCACCCAACTATTGCTACAGTATGTATTGATAATGTCCGGCCAACCACCGCTATGAGAATATTGTAATCAGAATAGGATACCTGGGAACTGGTCTGATGTTTTTTAAAATTTTAGTAAGGTTTTACGTCGCTCGCAACTGCATAATGTCATATGAGCGCCACGGGGTGGGTGTCAACAGAGAAGTCTTTACAGGGAATCAGACTTACTCTGCTCACCTCTCTAGCCTCAACAGCACAAAGTCTGCTTCGACTATCAAGGCACCCCAGAAATAGCAGTTCACAAGAGAGTGACAAACAAACAAAAGAAGTAGAGGTAAAATGACGATGTTTAGTTTCAGTCGAAATTTTACGTCCTCGCAACTGCATAAGGTCATATGAGCGCCAAAAGATTAGAGTTGTTACAAGAGAGTAACAAACATAAAAAAAGAAGGAGGGGAGATAAGGACGATAGATGTTTGATAGGAAAGAAGAGGCAAACCACACCAGAGCACCCGCCAACCACCCACATAAATGACGATAGTAAGGACGAGGAAAGAAAAAGCAGCAGTTCCCCCTATGTTGTTCCGGAACAGTATGAGCATGACATTGGTAAATCAGCCCATTTACAATTCTACTGTGCATAAGAACATGTTAATATGTTAATAATATCCCCCCTTTGGGAACGGCCTAAAGACATTTCAGTCAGTAGCACTGCCCTAGGGGGGGAATTTGTCGGAACCAGTTCCTGTGAATTGTTTAGTTTTAGTAGAGGTTTTACAGTGCTCGCAACTGCATAAGGTCATATGAGCGCCAGAGGATTAGAGCTGTTACAAGAGAGTAACAAAAATAAAAAAGAAGGGGAGATAAGGACGATAGATGTTTGATATGAAAGAAGAAGCAAATCACACCAGAGCACCCGCCAACCACCCACCTGTGACTTGAGCAATAGACCTAGTTGCTATATTGACATTCTCACTTAGTGCCCAATTCTAACTGAAACCAAAATCGAAAGATTTTAAAACACAGAGAACAAAGCTTGAGTTCATGAAGTTGTTTGCTTTTAAAACAAAACTATCACCATTGTTGGGAAGTAACTTTTATTTTTTTATAAATAATTCAACGATGTTTCCTTCCATTGCTACGATCTCACCTTGATAAAGACTAGGACAGGAGATTGAACGTTTCTGGGAAACAGGACAGCTCACAGACCAAAATCCCCCCCCCCTCCCCACCCCCTTAT